AACCCTTCACTATATATACCTGAATAAAAATCCTAGCTCCCAAGAGGGTAGACGTTAAAAAAAAAAAAAAAAAAAAATGTTCCATATGTTGGTGGTGTATTATTATATCCAATAAATTGTGTCGTAATTGCTAAGATCGTTGCATTTAAATTAAATTGAATATCTGAAATTGAGACATGATCTTGTTGAAATATATTAATCAACTTAGTTAAGATATACATTAAATCTGCTAGAAACTTTGTAGTTAATACAAAGTCTAAATTTAAACAATCAATTAATTTTTTGGCCTTTTCTTTATCTTGTTTACTTTCGGTTGTTATGAAATCATAATTTAAAGCATCTTTAATAGAATTAAGAATTTGATGCAAATTATGAACCATATTTGATATAGAAAGCCACCGAGTATTGATAATATTAAGTAAACATAATTGTGGTTCATCATTAGTTTCTTGAATCATTTTTAAATGTAATATTCACTTGTATGAGCCACTAAAATAACTATACAATGATTTGCATATAGATTCATATTCTTTAAAATGTGGAACCTCTTTTGCCACATCTTGCTCTGCAAGATGTAATTGATATGCGATGCAATACACTGATATCATAAACAGATTTAAGTTCTTAAATCATGTTGAAACACCAGTTTTCGAACCTATAATAAAAATTATCACGTATATAATTAATAATGTAAATAGATATTAATGATTATAATAAAGATATTTATTTATTTATTTACTAATCATTGTTGAAGCGTCATTACTAACAACACCAGGGCGTAGGATCGATTTTCTGGATACCAATTTATATACCGCAATGAAAATCTTTGAGCCAAATTTATTGCCTCGTAAGGAATGTGATTTGTCTAATTATAAAAATGCTGAAATTAAGATACTAGCTGATTTTTATAGTAATGATAAGAAGGCTTGTAATAGAAAAATACTTTCTGCATTAATTGATAAACAAGAATTACAACAAGAATAGGAGTAGTTAAAGAAATGATGAAATCTATTCGAGAATTTAATTGCATAGATGGATGGCATTTTATTTTTTCTACGAAACCATATTTCTGTACTGAATTTCTAAATATTTTTTTACTTGTTAAACTTACTCTAATTATTCTATTATCTAATGCTCATATAGAACGTATCTTTTCTCAATATAAATTAACTAAAAGTAAGATACGAAATCGTATGAATATAGATACACTTGATATGCTTTTAATGATTCATGAAAATACTCCTAATAACATAGACTTGTTTGATTGGAAATCTACATATAATTTTTGAAAAGAACAACAAACACAATGTATTAGTTAACTATAACTTATATATATATATACTGTTATATATATATATATATATATATATTCGTATATATATATAGGTATCTATTATTCAATAAAGTCATATAATCAATTTTGTGTATATTGTACCTTTGTGCAAAAAAAATTTTTTTTGCACTACATATTTGTGTTGAATTTTTAATACTGCATTACATATCGATATACAATAGATAATAGACTTTGATTATACTTTTAAGTTATACAATCTTATCAAAATTATAATGCATCCTAGTACAACTCAACCCTTGCGGCACCTACCACGTAGAACCAATCATAATATAATATTTACATCTAATCATTATACATTATTTAAACGGATCCAAACGGATCCAAACGGGTATATCGAATCAGATTTTAATATAGATTCAGGTTCATCAAATATGGATCTGAATCTGATCTGATGACCGGATCCAGTTCGGATCCAGATCTTCAGATCAGGTCTGCAGAATACTACTAACTAGTGAATTACTAATTAAAACTATTTTTTAATTTTGGCCAAAACTTGATAATTCTGGCCAAAATTACACTTGATATACTGACTAATCTACCTACTCACCCGAAATCAGCTGATTTCTGGAAGCCTTCTAACCAGATTAAAAAAATACTTTTGGTCCAAAATATATAAAATTATCTTAAGTTTTGTACAAACTTGTGATATTTGTCAATATCAAAACAAACCAAGATTCTATAAGGAGTTGTATTCTTTAAGTATTGAAAATCTTTTTAACCATATAGAAATTGACATAGTAGGCCATTTTAAAGATATTATAAAAAAAGATAATTGCTATATTGTAGTAGCTACAGAATATTTAACTAAATAGTTAAAGGCCAAAACTATTTCTGATATGAAAGCATCTACTATTACTTAATTTATTTACAAAAAAATTATCTGCTATCATTGTTGTTCTAAAGTATTATTTTCTAACCAAAGCTTGTTTTTTTGTAATGAAATTATAGATTCACTATATAATATTTTAAATGTTTAGTATAAACTAGCTATAGTCTACTACTTCCAGACTAATAATTTAACAGAATAGCTTAATAAAACCCTATATTTAACCCTAGCCAAACTCATAAATCATTACAAGATTACTTTGTATGAATTATTACTAGCCGCTTTATTTGCTTATCAAACAATTAAAAATAGTACAATGCAATACAATCTCTTTTTTTAATGTATAGTTGTAGTATTATAATATTACTAGATCTAAATCTACAAAAATCAGAAAAGACTTGAAGTTAGCCCTTAAAATGTTAGTAAATCAGCATATTAACAAAACTATAGCCAAACTAGATTAGCATCAGAAATAGGCTTAGAGTAATATTAAGAAAGCCCAAGATTAGCAAAAAAAGTATTATAATATTAAGATCAAAATGATAGAATTTAAAATTAGAGATCTAGTATTGCTATATGATTTGGCTAAAGAAAAGATTTATAGAGATAAGTTGTACAAAAGTAGATAAGGCTATATTATATTTATAATTATATAAAACCAAATATCTATAAACTAAGAATATTCAATAGTAAGGTCTTGATAAATATTATAAATACAAATAGACTAAAAAGATATTATAATAGACCAGTATAGAAGTTCAAGGTTCTAATATAAAAAAAAAAATTTTTAAACTCAGAAACCTTACTTGTTAAGAAAAAGGATATGTGATATAGTTATACAGTCGGACCTCCCTAAATACAACCTCTATAAATGCAATACCTCCCTAAATACACGTTTTTGTCTTGGCTATATGAAATCATTAGTGCTAAATACATGTTTTATATTCTGCAAATGCACGTTCACTCAAAAGATTTTTATATCATACTAACCTCTCTAAGTGCATGTAGCCAATCAGAAGTTAGTATTTAAGTTCATTATACAAGTCTGCAGATCAAATATTAAAAGCTGCAATTTGATTGGCTTCCTCTAAATGCAAATCTCTCTAAATGCATGTTTTAGGCGGATCTGTACATGTTGCATTTATGGAGGTTTGACTGTACAATCACATTATACAAATGATTATACAAAGTTACAAATCCTTACATCGATCACGTGATCATAACACATGTAATGATAAGACAGAATAGTTTTATTTTATTTTATTTTATTATAATTATTATTCTATTTCTATTTTTTTATTATTATTTATTATTACTTTACTTTTAATATTTATTATCTTATATTAATATGTGGAAGAGGCTATATAATTATCATATATCTTATTATACAATTAATCAGCATAATAACAGAATGATCTCATTAACATTCTGCGTAAAAGTAGTTAACCAAAACTCTACAAAATTAGATATTAATTAGTTAAGGCAATGTCATTTATCACCTGATTTTTTTTTATCAGAAGCTTACCCCCTCTCTCCCTCTTACTATATATTTTGATCAGGTCTTTATATATAATTTTAAATTTTTTTTGATTTTGAATTTCTATTCATCAGTAGCTTTATGTTTGCCTTTATCTTTTATGTTTGAGTTTAAAATCCAAATTACATAAATCGAACTTTTACAATAAATTTTTATAAAGTTTACTTATTGTTATCTTCGATAATAAGTATATACTTATCTCTAAACTATTAATTTTTATATATTGTTATATTTTAGTATTAGTACACAAACTTGCTCGCTAAACAGTTTAAGAGATAAAAAGTAAATTATCACTATTGTTGATCTATAAAATTACATAAATAGCTAATTCAAAGAAATTATTGATGATATTATGATTAATAACAACTATATTTGATAATATATTTTTTTTTTGCTTGAGCATGTGATCGCTATAATCAAAGATATAATTTTAACCTTGTAATAATGGACTATATACAGTACACAAACTATTTAACTTGCACAATCAATTGTGCAATTGTGCAATTCATAAAAAAATTTTTTTGTGCATGTATTGTAATTTTTGTACAAAAAACAATACATGCACAATGAATTTTTAACATTGATATAATGTAGAAGTCTATTATCCCTTAGATTGTAACACAGGCAAATTTGCCTGCATATTTTAAAATTTTTAATAAAATTTTAAATATTGATT